TATTATGAAATTTAAAAGCTAAACTCCCTATATACAATTTTAAATGTAAAACTTGTATGTCTGATGGAATATGATTTTTTAATAAAGATTTAAAAGAATTGTTTGTATAATGTGCCTTCGAATTTTTTAATGTAGAGAGATAGAAATTTGTGATCAGTATTTACCTCTGTCTGCTCTAAATCTTTGCTGCTCATGCAATATATTTCCATTACATCGATTTTTGTTTTGAGTTCATGTATTTAACTGGAAATTTTTACTTCTTGTCATACTAATACAGCCTTTTATATGTTTCGCTAAAGGTCTGCTCTGAATAAGGAAAGCAAAGAATACTAACATAAGGTGAAAAACTAGTGGTGACATATTAGAGGTGTACAAGTTGACGAATGGGAATAACAAAAGGGGGATAATAATAGGGTATTAAAGGAATCAAAACAAAATAGAACTCGAAAAAAGGTTATAAATTGGACATGTTTAGATTTAGGAAAGACCTTGATAAATACTGGTTCGGTTGTTGATTTGTTGAGCAAATTACTGCATAACACATAAGAACATAAGAACGAAGTTAACTGCAGAAGGCCTATTGGCCCATACGAGGCACCTCCACCACCTTTCTCTCTCTCTCTCTCTCTCTCTCTCTCTCTCTCTCTCTCTCTCTCTCTCTCTCTCTCTCTCTCTCTCTCTCTCTCTCTCTCTCTCTCTCTCTCTCTCTCTCTCTCTCTCTCTCTCTCTCTCTCTCTCTCTCTCTCTCTCTCTTTTTTACACTAATAAAATTACTGTTGTTGTTGTTTCGGATTTAGCTACTCAGAACGAAGTGTCCATGTAGCATGGACTTTGGTGAGCCCGTAAATATATTTAATATCACTATTGTTATTCCTATATGTACTCAGGCTCAGGTCAATCACCTCACTTACACAACTCTTGGGGTATATATAAAAGGAACCCGCTCCTTGAATAATTCAGTCTAGTTCTTAGCACAGACCAGAAAATACGTTTGTTGACGCATAATTTACGTGTTTTCCAATATTTTTCCAAAACATATCTTGGAGAAACTTTACTCATTAGTCTGTGAATTCTAACCGATATTAAGAAAAAAAATAGATTTTCCTCTAACGCAACAGGTCCAATATACAGAGCCATGGCAGAAATTATATATGAATGTTGTATTCGCAAACCAACTAGGCCAAAAAGAGTTTGTGCTCCGATAAAGAAGACTCTAGGCTCGCAAGCAAATTTCCAACAGAAGGAGGAAAAGGTCGTAATCGACAATAAGGCAAAAACAAGCGATAAACAAAATCAGTCTACAGATGTACCAATGAAAAAAAGAAATGATACGCTGGTCACAAGTCTCGATAAGAAGATCATTACTTTGAATGATTCCATCAAAAGTAATAAGCAAACTCCCTGCACTTCATTTGATATGACGATACAAAATTGTGAGCAAAACCGCACCGAATATTTGCAGCCCAAAAAGCGAGCTAGAAAAGATGACGGTAACAATCCCGAGGATTCATGCAAAAAGCCAAGATTGATCAAACCCAGCGACCAAAACTCCAGACGAACAGTTATCTTAATTTAGGGAAATTATTATGAAATTTAAAAGCTAAACTCCCTATATACAATTTTAAATGTAAAAATTGTATGTCTGATGGAATATGATTTTTTAATAAAGATTTAAAAGAATGTTTGTATAATGTGCCTTCGAATTTTTTAATGTAGAGAGATAGAAATTTGTGATCAGTATTTACCTCTGTCTGCTCTAAATCTTTGCTGCTCATGCAATATATTTCCATTACATCGATTTTTGTTTTGAGTTCATGTATTTAACTGGAAATTTTTACTTCTTGTCATACTAATACAGCCTTTTATATGTTTCGCTAAAGGTCTGCTCTGAATAAGGAAAGCAAAGAATACTAACATAAGGTGAAAAACTAGTGGTGACATATTAGAGGTGTACAAGTTGACGAATGGGAATAACAAAAGGGGGATAATAATAGGGTATTAAAGGAATCAAAAACAAAATAGAACTCGAAAAAAGGTTATAAATTGGACATGTTTAGATTTAGGAAAGACCTTGATAAATACTGGTTCGGTTGTTGATTTGTTGAGCAAATTACTGCATAACACATAAGAACATAAGAACGAAGTTAACTGCAGAAGGCCTATTGGCCCATACGAGGCACCTCCACCACCTTCTCTCTCTCTCTCTCTCTCTCTCTCTCTCTCTCTCTCTCTCTCTCTCTCTCTCTCTCTCTCTCTCTCTCTCTCTCTCTCTCTCTCTCTCTCTCTCTCTCTTCTCTCTCTCTCTCTCTCTCTCTCTCCTTTTTTGTACAACTAATAAAATCACTGTTGTTTGTTGTTTTCGGATTTAGCTACTCAGAACGAAGTGTCCATGTAGCATGGACTTTGGTGAGCCCGTAAATATATTTAATATCACTATTGTTATTCCTATATGTACTCAGGCTCAGGTCAATCACCTCACTTACACAACTCTTGGGGTATATATAAAAGGAACCCGCTCCTTGAATAATTCAGTCTAGTTCTTAGCACAGACCAGAAAATACGTTGGTTGACGCATAATTTACGTGTTTTCCAATATTTTTCCAAAAACATATCTTGGAGAAACTTTACTCATTAGTCTGTGAATTCTAACCGATATTAAGAAAAAAAATAGATTTTCCTCTCTAAACATGTTTGTTTGGTTGTTTGTTTTTGTATAAAGACTCACACACTATATTAAGCGAGTTTGTTTAAAAAACATGACATACATATTAATTCATTTTACAGGCCTTATTCCACACAACTCCGTGAATTTCCCGTGGAGCCAGCCATTCAAACAAAAAACAAACAAAACAAAACAAAAAAACATTATTATGCCCAACAGCATTTGGTGTTCCCAGGCGGTCACCCATCCAAGTACTAACCAAACCCAACGTTGCTTAACTTCGCTGATCGGACGAGAAGCGGTGTTCTCAACGTGGTATGGCCGTTGGCATGAGACTGCCTACACATGTGGCTAATACCAACTCTTTTTAGTCATCACGGCAGGATACGGACCTTCTTGTGGTGTCTTAATGGTAATTGTATCCTAAATATTTTTTGTCTCCTTGGCATGGATATTTAACATCGTTTATTCAGTCTTGGGTTTATGTTCTTTCGCCATTTAAAGACATTTTACATCTACTTACTTCCTCAGCCTGCCCTGCCACTTTCTAATGAATTGTGGATTTTCTTTTGTAATACATACATGTGTGTGCTCATCTGCTCTTCAGTTTTATGATATTTGTCTCATCTGTCCTGCTTATGATACTTTTACAAAGAACATGAACAAATGCTTCTATTTTAGAGAAGATATGGGATCCAGGTTTCGGAGCCGTAAAACCAAACCGTCGTGATTGGGTGGACGAGTTGCCAGGTTGCAGCTTCTGTACCGTGCCGGCACATAAATAGGTTCGGCTCAAGCGGCGGGCAGCATCATTCCCCCGTGACTGTCTGAGCGTCTCTCATCCCCTTGGTTGGTTCATCATCATCATGGTAGAAGCAAAGCCTACCAAGAAGGCTGCGGCTGCTGTGCCTGTGGTGGCCACCACCAGGAACCTCGCGTCCAGGTTGCTCACCCGAAAACTAGTCAAATGGTTTCTAGCCGCGGTCGCAGCACTCAAAGACCGTAAGGGCTCGTCTCTACAAGCAATCAAGAAGTACGTTGTTGCCAACAACAAAGTCGAGGCTGCCAAGATCGCCATTTACATCCGAAGATTTCTCAAGAAAGCAGTGGCTGACGGCATTCTTGTTCAGACCAAGGGAAGTGGAGCTAGTGGATCATTCAAGCTGGCCGTAGCAGAGAAGAGGGCCGTTCTAACTCCCAAGAAAGCCACCAAAACCAAGAAACCATCTACAGCAGCAAAGAAGGCCGTGCTAACTCCCAAGAAAGCCGCCACAAGCAACAAACCACCTACAGCCTTGAAAAACTAGAGCAGCAGCAGCAGCTTGTTGTTGGGAACAAAAAGCCCCAAATAAAGAGAGCTTCAAAATCTCCCAAAACCACCCAAGGCAAAGAAAGCTGTCAAGAAAACAACAAAGGCAAAATAAACGACGACATGCAAGCAGCATGAATACACATGACAATAAACATCCAGGCCTCCCCCCCTCAGTGGAGGGGCCTATATGATTCCAAAAGAGTTTAGTTTTGTAGACAAAATAAATCATTACTTTGGGGTAGATTACTCTGTATATATATATATATATATATATAGATATATATATATATATATATATATATATATTATATATATATATATATATATATTATATATATATATAATATATATATATATACATACATGGGTGAGGTGATATGGTACCAAAGTTTTGGGTAAGGTGATTGACATTTACACAAGATTAAAAACACGAACCAATGGGAATTAAAAAACATAAGAATGGAAGTAACTGCAGAAGGCCTATTGGCCCATAACACAAGCACTTCCTCTTGATGCTTCTATATTGGTTCGGAGTCTTGAAGCTATAATATATATATATAGATATAGATATATATATATATATATATATATATATCTATATATATATATATATATATATATATATATATATATATATATAGATATAATATATTATAGCACACAAAACTAAATAGTCTTGTTAGACAAATTGCCCCTATTAGAGGCGAGTTGACTAACAAGCCGAATGACTGCAATTGTTTTGAATTTGTGAGTTAAATCTAACATAGAAATGTAATCAAACCTAACCTAACCTATGCTAACCCAAGCTAAGCTAACCTAACCTAACCTAAGCTAACCCAAGCTAAGCTAACCTAACTAACCTAACCTAACTAAAACTAACCTAACCTAACCTAACCTAACTAACCCCAGCAATTCATGATCTTAATATAATACTGTTAATGGATAAACCAATTTGGAAAGAAATGTTCGAAAATAACAAAATTAACTGTGCTTGTTAGGAAAATTGGGCCTTGCATACTTGTCCCAATAGTGTGGTTCTCGCTTTTAGGTACGACATAAACGTATACCTAAGTGAGAGAGAAAAAGATTCGCACTCAAACATGCATATCGATTGCCAGTCCTGAATTCTGGGTAGATATTCGTGTCCTCCCTTTTCATTTACCATCATTTGGATACTATCAAAACAGCTCTGAGAAGGATAAAATGAATAAAACGGGTTAGCTCACTCATGTAAAAAGGAAGAGTTGGGAAAGATCTCTCTCTCTCTCTCTCTCCCCCTCCCCACCAATGATCCTGCTCTGCTAGTATATAACGTAACAATACTTCCCCCCCCCCCTCCCTCCCCAATCAGAGTCCTTTAGCATGCGAGGATAAAAAAATAGATTTCATAAGACCCAATGTGCTAGATGATATCAAAAAAATTTATGTTATCGTCTATTAAGCCCTTCAGTAAAAAAGTATAGGGACCTAATTAGGTCCCGTTTTGAGGTGGTGGTGGGTGGAATCGATGGATTAGCAAAGCTCTTATCCGCCGAATCCGTAGAGGGTACGACCCTGGCGCTTCAGAGCGTACACCAGTCCATGGCCAGTGACGGTTTTCCTCTTGGCGTGTTCCGTGTAGGTTACAGCATCACGGATGACGTTCTCGAGGAACACTTCAGGACGCCACGGGTCTCTTCGTAGATGAGACCCGAAATACGCTTGACGCCGCCACGACGAGCTAAGCGACGAATAGCGGGCTGGTGATGCCATGGATGCTGTCACGTAGCACCTTACGATGACGCTTGGGCCACCCTTTCCGAGTCCCTTGCCTCCCTTGCCGCGTCCAGTCATGGTGTTGAAGTTGTGTGAATCGAATTGACGAATGCATTTCATTCATTCATTTAAATATAGGTCAAGATACCCTATGGGGTGAGCGTGGAAGTGGGGATAGGGGAAGAATTAGTGGGGGTGAGAGGAAGGGTTTTCAGTATGAGGTAAAGTGCCAGGGCTAGACCCAGCTGCATGGCATTGAAATCGTTATGACCAGACTAGGCAGTGAAGGCAGGAATCGGATCTGTGACAACATTTCGTCTTTTCTGAGCACCCACGGAGACAGCAGTCCTCAGCGGGGTGTGCCCTGGAGGCTCACACCAGATGTGGTCTTTGATCTGTTAATCAGCATCGCGGCCCACCCAAGGCACCAGAAAAAGGGAGAGCTAGTGGGTCCCCCCTAAAGAGGGGGGAGAAGAGTTAGGAGGTTATAGTTGGAAGTTTGGTGATTTGAGTAGTGATATTATAGGAGAGGGGTTATGTAAAGGACGGAGAAGGAGGTGGATCGTCGATCAGGTTAAAGAGGTTGTGCGTATTGTCTGGGTTCTGCTTAGGACGTTTCTGAGGAACGTGTCGTAGTTGTCATGATAGGTGAGAATTCTGTCAATCTGTTTCTTCCCCATAGTATCCAGGTTATGTTCAGAGGTGGGATGTTCGCCCTCTCATGCAGGGCCTCACTGGTGGTGAAGTCCTGCCAATGGGTATCGAACACCCATCTCAGAGCCCTGTTCTGGGTACGCTGGAGTTTCTTCCTATTTGTTGGTGCTGCAAGTGTGAGTGGGATCGGTGCATATGTTAGGAGTGGGAGAATAAGTGTTTTGTATAAGTAGAGCTTGGTGGCTTGGGAGGCATGTTAAGTGGGTAGAGTTTTGATAGGGCGTTTGAGGCTATAGCTTTCTTGGGTGTTATGTGTGTGTGAAAGCGAAGGTTAAAAGTCTAGTGTGAGTCCAAGTACTGTGGTTTGTTGACTCTTGGGATCTGGGTTGCATCTGGTGATTGAGAGTAGAGTTTACTGGGTCAGGGTACGTCGTTTGTTGTAGAAAAAGTATGTTATTTTTTGACTTGTTGGGGTTTGTTTTTATTCGCCAGTCGTGTTCCCAGAGGGGTGACTTTGTCTATTTCTTGTTGGGCTTTCCGTGTGAGGGCGTTAATCGTATAGTCTGTGATCAGTTGGGTTACGTCGTCAGCGTAGCAAAGGGTCATGATGTCAGTTACTGGGTCAGGGATGTCGTTTATATAGAGTATGTATAAGTTGGTGAAAGAACTGAGCCCGAGGGGGACACCTGCATTTAGGTTGAAATAACCCGACAGCTTGCTGAGGAACTTGATCTGCATCTTTCTATTTGTTAGAAAGCTGCAAGTAGCCTCTGCATGTTATCAGATAGTTGAAACAGAGTGCAGAGTTTGTAACGCAGGCCGTCGTGCCATACGGTGGTCAAAAGCTTTTTCGACGTCCTTGCAACTGAGGGCCGTCTTGGCCCTTGGTGTTTATTTATGGAGAGGTAGTTTGTTATTATGTTCAGTGCGTCTTGGTTGAGCGGTGTTGTTGAAGCCAAAATTGTTTGTCTGTCAATATGTTTTGGTGTTCTAGGTGATTCCTGAGTTTATGATTAATGAGTTTTTCGTATACTTTTCCTAATGTCTCTAGTAAGCTGATCGGTCTGTAGTTCTTAGGGTCTGTCGGGGATTTTTGGGGGTTTGGAATGAGGATTGCTGTGGCTTCTTTGAATGGGCTTGGGAAATATCCGATGCTAGTGAGGCGTTGTAGACGTCTGTGAGTGCAAAGATTAGGGGTCTGGAAGTTGCTTGAGGAGAGCTTGGCCAATGCCAGAGGCTCCTGGGGCTTTACGTCTGGTGTTCTTGAGCATGAGTTTAATTCTTCAGGTAGTATTGATTCTGTGAGGTCACTTTCTAAGTGTCTAGTGTCGTGAGGTCATGGTAGGGTAGTGTGTGATGGCATGAGGGTGTGTCGTATCCATGTTCTACTCTGTTTATGTTTGTATTGCTGTTGGTTGGGGGGGGGGGGATTGAAGATGTCCTGCCAGTGTTGTTGAATATGCCTATTACTTCTGAGGGATCGGTTGTAGTTTTGATTGTTGTGAGTGATGTATGTAAAGGCAGAAGAGGAGGAGTTTCCTCTGATCCTCTTTATGAAGTTCCAGAATTGTTGTGGAGGTGTTTTCTTTGTATTTCAGCTTTATGTATGAGTTTTCCCAGTTGTTAGCATGTCTTGGTCAAGGCTGTTGAGTATGTGGTTTTTGAGTATAGTGAGGTCTGTGTTTACTTGATGTATCTGTGAAGGTTGTGGGGATCTGTTGTGATAGCAGGAGAGTAGCCTTTTGGTTTGATCGAAGGAAAAAAGGAGTATTG